AGCCCTTTCTTCCTGTCCATGGCATCCATCAAAAGAACAGAGGCAGTGAGAGCCATCTGAAGCCATGGCGGTCCTGTTTTCTTACATGACCAAACGTCTTGCAAAGGTGTGCGAGTGTGTGCAAGAGTGTATGTGTTTGCTTTTTATACAAAAAGAGGCACATGTACAAAGGGATACAGAAGAGGGAAATTTAGTTACAAGGACCACATATGAGGCACTTCTGAGGTTTCTGGAGACAGGTGAAAAAGACACAGCTCTAAGTATTGTGGGATAAGGGAAAAGACTGAGGTTACTCCCAGATTACTGAGGGAACAGGAGGAGCATTTCACCTTGATTCAGGATTTAGGGGAGGCCACTTAGGCTCTGAGGCAGATAGGGAAAGCCTAAGTTAACTAATTGAAAAAAAGGAGGGAAAGTGTTCTGGGAGGAGTGGAAGGCATTCAGGGATGACCAAGTGGTGGACCACTACAAGCAGTTTCTTGGAAGAAAGTCTGTCATCTGGAAAATTCACAGGTTGTGTTCCTGCTGTGGTAATGGCTGTGGAGGTGGGGGGAGATTCAATGCATGAAGTATGAAAAATGCAAGTGAACTGACCTTTTAACCAATCTTCAGAGTATGAAGGGATTAAATAAGTTAGTTCCTGATTATTAGACCCCCAAGGAAAATTTAATTTGCATCTACATGTGATAAGTGTTTAGTAATTCAATACAAATTTTGCACTAGCCAGATCTGAGCAGGTTGGTGATGATGTGCTAAGAGATGGGGTGCTACCATTAGGTCAGATTTTATCATGGGTCAGTAAAGGAACATTAAAATCTGTTCACTTTGTCATTACTAAATGGCTTCTGGAATATTGTGGAAGAGAGCACTACAGTAGTGATTTCCATTCTCACATGACCCTTATCCAAATTGTAAGAACCTCTCAGAGATGCTGATTATGACACTGTCCCCACTGGGCTGAGGACAGGGGTGTATTTATCTTCTTCAGACAGATGGGAAACCTGAGAACGAACTTAATTAGAATGCCTGCCAAAGATTTTACACACAGAGACACCCAAAACAAAAGCTGAATCGGGTATAATTTTAATTGTTCTAGAGCCTCTGAAGGCATTGGTGTCTTAGCCAAATTTATTTTGGCTATTTCTGCATTTCATTCTTTCAAATTTCTTGTGTAGATCCTGATTTTTAGTGTGAAATGTAATAATTGATATCTATATAGCATATATCCTTTCTGGTATTAGAAAGAAATCTTACACATTGAATTATTGAATGAATAGAATACACATTTGAAACTTTGACAGATATTGTTATATTGGCTTCCAGAAAAAATATTCTTGAGATAGCTACATGTGTCAACTGCTACCATGGGCCTACCTCTGGGCTAAACACTTTGAATGCATTACCTCATTCAGCCCTTGGAAAAACCTATGAGGTTAGCTCTACCTGGTTTACAGATTGGAACACAGAGGCTGAGCAGGATAAACCCAGCCAGCAGGTGGTGGGGCTGGGACTGGAGCCAGTTGATACTCCTACCAGTTATTTCTTGTTAGTGAGGTTTTTGTAAGAATGGAATATTTTAAATTATGTATTCTAATTAGTTCTTTTGATATACTAAAGACATGTTGACTTTTTTTTTTTAGAGAAGGTGAACCAGACTCAATTAAAGTAAATTTGGCACCTTAGTTCTGGATTTATGGTTTCTGGTATTCTCATTTTAATGGTGATTTTTCAGTCATTATTTGGAAGTTCTCAATTGTTTTGAGGTCTGGACATATGTCAGAGCATTTTTTTTTATTGAAGTACTGTTGATATACAATCGTATATTGGTTTCAAATGTACAACACAGTGGTTCAACACTTCCCTATATTGTTAAATTCTCACTCTCTCTAGTGCAGTTACTATCTATCAATGTAGAAAGATGTTACAGAATCATTGACTGTATTCTCCATGTTGTACTACTATCCCTGTGACTAACTTATATTGTGATTGCAAATTATTGTGCCCATTTATCCCCCTCGTCTCCCCAACCACCTATCCCTCCCTCTCAACCTTGGTAACCATTAGTCACCGCTCAGTGTCTGTGAGTCTATTGCTATTTTCTTCCTTCTGTTCTGCTTCCTTTTTATGTTTCACAAATAAGTGAAATCATATGGTATTTGTCTCTCTCTACTTGGCAAGACCTGTTGACTTTTAATGATTTGTTTTTGTCCATCTTACTAAACTCTGTTTTTACTAGATTAAGCTGAATTTTCCTAGTCATGCATCAAACAACTCCAAATCATGGTGTCTTTGCCTCTTTTTTCCAATAGTTTTATCTTTTATTTTCATTTCTAACATCTGTAGCAAGTATTTTCAGAATAATACTAAGTAATAGTGGTGATAATGGTCTTACTGTTAACTTTCTTGGTAATTTTTTTAAACTTACCATTCAGAATGGCCTTTGACCCATGAGTCTAATGCTTTAGTCATGTTAAGGAGACAATTCTCTAGTCTGTTCAAAAGGTTTTTATTGGACAAGTTAAACTTTCTCAAGTGCCTTTCCAACATCCATTGAAATGATCATACTTACTTTTTTTCCCCTATCAATACAATAATAATATACCTGTTGTATGTTCCTGGGAAAATTCCCACTTGGTCACAGTGGATTTTTCTTTTAAGGTAATGCTGAATAGTATAGAAATTCATGGTTATCTGAGTGTAATTGTTGCATGGAAAAGTTAACATGAAATGAATCCTTCAAAATGACTAGATTTTGTTGAGAGTTAAAAAGTGGGGGAATGAGTTTGAAAAGCAAAACTGAAAATATAAAAATCTTAATTTAATGAAAAAATTTTGTCAATTTGCTAGAGGCACTAATTTTTAGAACAAATAGTTTTTCAGACAAAATTTTTAGCAGAATACTACATATTTTGTTTTCTATTATTATAGTACAGTTTGAAATAGGACATTTTGAATAAGTGTTTGAGGCCTCACAAGTTTCCTAGGGACCTCTCCTTATATGTTGATACTCAAATTGTTCTCTCTTCAAATGTCATGTCATTTTCTTGTTAACTGACCTAATTCTGCAAGGGTCTTATCTGCCATGACTTTGGGTGTGAATCAAGCCATTCTCAAACATCACTTTCCTTAGACTCCATGAAAATTCTTCAAGTTTTGCAAGGTTTTCAGTTTTACTTTGTAGTTAGTTTATTTTGCATATTAAGATGTTCACAACATACATTAAATACCACATCCAAGAAACTGAGAAGGCAATGTGATGGGCAAGAATGGATGCTGTTATTAAGTGGGAAGGATTATTTGTGTTGGGGACTGATTGTAAGATAGGAAAGCAAAGACCCTATCACGTGAAAATATTTAGTATTTTCTGATACTGCTTTCCTATTCACTTTGTAAGGACATAGACTTAAGTAACGAAAACCCCTGTATCCATATTTATGACTGAACTCAGTGTATAAGCAGGCGGGGGTACTTTTCCTGAAGTCCATAATGAGAAGTTAGATGGTCCCGAAGTTTGATGGGAGAAAAAATTTTCATCTTTATTTTCACTAATGTGTAATGTAAATGTAGCATTTTCTTCCACTATTAACCAAACCACAGCCGTATTAGTAATACTTATAATGTCACAGTAGAAATCACAGGTCTTTTCATATTACATTACAGGTTTTTACAAATGTCTTAAAATGCTAATTACTCTGATCACTACTTCAAAATAATCGTAATGACTAGGTGTGCTACTAAGTAATTAATTTATAAAAGAAGCATATGTATTCTTCTATCTCACTTAAAATATATTTTGATACTTTATTTCCTTTGTAATCTTATGTATTTTATTTTTTCAGATTATATAGCTTTATTCTGAGAAAGGATCTATAGGCTTCACCAGACTATCTCATGTGTCCATGACATAAAAAGAATTACTAACCACTGACTTTTTTTTTTTGGTTATATATCTGTTACATCGTGTAGTTTTAAGACTGCATCACATAGTTCCTTTAAAAATGCAGCATTTCTTTCTTTCTGTATTCTGGAACAGGTTTAAGCACTAGCATCATCTTGTCATTAGGGGCTTAAAATAATTCACCCATGACACCAGCTGGGCCTGGATGATTTTTGACAGTCAGTCCTTAGACCATTTTGATAATTTCTTCTAAAAAATTAGTCTACTCAGTTTGTGTGGCTCTCCTTCAGTTAACTTTGGTCATTGTGTTTAACAGAAATCTTCTATTTCTTCCAGGTTTTAAAATTTATTAGCAAACTATTCTTGAATGATTCCTCAGATTTTCTTTGCACCTCTGATGAATTGAAAAGCATTATTGAAAAAGGAATCTTTATTAGTCACAATTCTCTGCATACATTGGAAAAGTTCTAGTATAATTACATGGAAAACATAATTTACTGTCTTTAGATGGTACAGAATTTTCAGAGTCTTAAGATTGGGAGCCACTAATTTCAAAATGTGAGGTTCGGAAGGGAACTTTTACTGAGTCCAGCTGACTTTTTCCTCATTCTAGGTTGCAGAGGTGGTGCTGGGACTGATGCTTTGGAGCAGGGCTCCCCCTGTCTGCCGCGGCACTTCCCTCATTGGCTTTGCTAGGATGCCAGAATGAAGAGGGAATAATGAGATACCCTGTTTCACCAGCCAATCATTACAGCCTGTCCCTGGACCTGAGGCCCTAGATGACTGGATGGGGATTGGGAGGCCATGCTGATGTCACATACTAGAGCATCGGAACTCTGAGAAACCCATGGTCTGTGCTGGAATGACTGGCCCAAGACAGCTAGTTATAATCAGGCAATGGGCATTTTGGAGCTCACTTAGGCCTGACCTTAAAATTAAGAGTCCTAAGGTCACTAGAAAAGCATGATGATATTCTGGGGTGTTTCATATCTTGAAGAAAAAAAAATATTTGAGTTGTATTTGAGCTGTTAGACCTTCTCATACATTAGCTGCAGCTAGATTCATTACATATCATTCTCTTTTCCTTTCTTTTACTATATAGCTACTCTCCAGAGAGACCGAATCTTCAAACACTTTACCAGGAAGCGCCAGAGGGCTATGCGAAGGCGAGTCCACCAGATCAATGGACACAAGTTTATGGCCACCTACCTGAGACAACCCACCTACTGTTCTCACTGCAGGGAGTTTATCTGGTAAGAGGTTCTCCGGCTTTTCACCTCCTTAGAGCTTCTTTCTTCCTAAGAATCTTCTTAGGAAGGCTTCCTCTGGTTGTGTGTGACTTCAGGAGGAAGCATGATTCTTAAGAATTGTTTTGGGACCTGATTTTTGCCTTCTATTCTAATATGTTGACCTGGCAATTTTAATCCCCAGTGAAAAAGAAAATCTAAACAATTTACAGATCCAAATTTCAGGTACAATTTCTTTTTTCAACCATTTTTGTTAATCATGAATTGGTTAAGACGCTCTAGTCAGAAAGGCTGATCCATCAAACAATAGAAAAGCAATTGGATAATCAGCCCCTGAGGAAGAGAGAAAAAGCAACAGTGTTACTTTGAAAAGGCATGAGTCACATCATGACTCATGGAAATTGACTGTAAAGTTAAACTGTAAAGTCAGCACACAGTAGCAGTATGGCATGTAGCTGAAGGGAATAGCTTTCAGTGATCATTTCTTGGCAGTAGGAATTAAAATGATTAGCAGTTGAGAAATTCTAGATGAATTAGGGCAATATCTTACTATACATGTACTTTAAGCTTAAGTCTCAGCGGCAAGTTATAATGTAAAATAAATTTAAGTAATAGTTATCTTCAATTAGAGGCAACATTAAATGTATTTATTTGGAAGAGAAGAAATACCCCGTTGTACATACCCGAAGTTATGCACATACCAGCCCATATCAGAAGGAGAAAACACAGTTTGGTATCTGCAGCACGAAAGGAGGTCAAAACTTCAGTCATTTGTTTAAGACAGAAGCACTTGGTTCAGTGTAATTTCTGATTATTGATCAGTTACTTTGTTTGTATGATCACTTTGGATTTTATCATTTTTAGCAGTCAGAATCCAGGGTTCGTTAGTGTTTTTGGCATTGTTAACCAAGAAGAATCTGGTCTAAACCAAAGGCCCTCAAATAGCTGTTGATAGGAAGCCTGCAAGTATGCTGTCACAACCAGAGTCTTTAGGAACAAATTCCATTAAGTTTTCTTTGGATTTGCATTTTTTATTGAAAAAAAACAGAGACTCTGGCATCTTCAAGTCTTTTCCCTTCTTTGTAGCCATCTGCACTAGATCTAGTTAGCCAGAGGCCACCTTTCTCTTGGGTTTGCCTGACCTGAAAAGTGACTATCTGTTGCTATTTTTCATGTCACACCATTCTGCTTCCCTCCATTATGTGACCTGCCTGCTCTGATAGGCCTTTGTGGTGACAACCTGTGACCTTGACTAATGTTCTTAACAGAAACTTATTTGATCATTTCACTAAATTTTTCCACCAAGGAAACATTAACTCCTACCTAACCAGCCTTGACATACACACATACGCATATTGGTATACGTGTTACATATATAAGAGTATGGACTCTGGCATTCCGTCTCTCACCAACTAGACATATGAACCTAGATAAGTTATATAACCCACCAGTGTCTCCTGTTTTGCAAAATAGAGATAATATACTTTGCTTATATAATAAACTTTCATAGCACTTAAAGTGCCAGGCACTATTCTAAACATTTCACATTATCAACTTTTTATCTTCATTGTAACCCTCCCTACAAAGTACATACTGGGGTCATTATCCCTCTGTATAGATGAGGAAATTATCATTCAAAGAAGTTGGCAACTTGCCCCAAATCACATGTAACCTATCTTGGCCTCAACGTCTGTGCTCTTAGCCATCCTATTATGTGTGCTACCTCACATGGCTTTTGTGAGGAGTAAGTGAGATGGTGTATGTCACCTGCCTGACTCGGTACCTGGCACATCCTAAGGGCTTAGTTAAATGTGGAGTTTCTTAATGAGAGTGAGAATAATATCATCATTACCCAGAGAGTGTATTAGAGAGATGGTAGCTGCGGGTATGATGGGCATACTGTGGCAGCGTTTCTGCAGCCCCTTGGATTCCAGAGCTGATGTGGGCACAGACAGCGGGGATGGTGCCTCGGGTCAGGCAGCTGCGATGGGTTCATCTGTTTACGTCTGTGTGTGTATCTGTATGCTTCTTAATATGTGTGTGAATGAAAGTGAGGTGATGAAGTGACTGAGGCTGAGGCTCAGTCACAGGTACAGATGAGGCCTTATTTTCATTGAGGACATGGGCGCGTGCCCCAGAGTTGGGTGGAATGAGAATTGCTGATATCACCCTTTTATGTAGTATGGAGCATTCTAATCCATCAGCTGACTTCCTCTCTGTCTGTGGTAATAAACAAGGGCTCAAAAAGCACACCATCTTTGTTTCTTCACTGAAAGTGTGTTTTCATGAAGGCCAGAGGGTGAAATTTGTTTTCCTTAAGTGCTATGATTATAGGAGCATTGTTACTGAAATATTTGACTGATGGGAACTTTTTTTCTCTGTTGTCTTGAACAGGGGTGTATTTGGGAAACAGGGTTATCAATGCCAAGGTAAGAAAACATTCTAAAAGCTATTTTGAATCTTGCTCCTATGTTAAAAACTGATTATACCAAAAGGAAACAGGGCACATCCCATTAATACTGTGATAAATAACTCTCTATAGGCCAAATGAGACCACCATAGAATTCCAACTCTTTAGTTTTGGTTAAATGTTGGCTATGTTTTCGAGAGCATAGAGGGGACCTTTTATTTCTACAGCCAGGATACCTAATAAAGTTTGATTGTTCAAAGGTTTTATCTCTGCAATAACATGAAGGTACTAAAAAAGTAATGCCATTTTGTGAGCAGGACCCTTAAATCTTGAAGATACATTTTTGTATTTTACAATCCCCTTGTCAATAGGGATGAAAAGTGGTACAAGGATATTTTCTCTTTTCCTGCATAGAATAGAAGCTATCATCCAGGTTGGTTTTTGATTTTCTAATATTTTTTAAAATATGAGAAATGTTCAAAGTTAAGCTGTTTTAAGTTATTACACATTAAATTTATTTTGATTTTCACAATTCTAAGATAAAACTAATTTACTAGTGTTCTGGCAGTAGCAGAATGAAATTGAATGTGAGGAGTGAAAGAAGGCTCCTTCCTCAGGAGATTTAGCCAGGCTACATCTCCTAGTCTTTTATTTGGGCCTCCCTTACTCTTGGCCTGAGCATCATCACACAGTTTGTACTTATGGTACCTGTCTTCTTGATTTACACTCTACAGATAATTGGTAAAACAGCACTACATATTCTAGAGAGGTAGCCTATGTGTGAATAAGGAAATGCTGCCTTCTCTTCATGAGGGGGTAAGGTAAAACATTATTTCCCTTAGAACAGAATAAGACATACTCTTGGATGTAATTTTGATTTTACTATGTATGCACAATTCTATTGAGTTCCTGATCTTAGAAAAAATGGAATGTATAACCAGTATGACAACAATAATTGACTTTTTGCTATTAATTTTAGCCCCAAATGAGAACATAGTTCACAGGTCAGAATCCATGTCAGTTTTTGGCCTGGGTCTCTCCCGCACAGGGATATGCCCTGCAGTCAACTCCAGGCTGTCTTATGCATAGTGTCAAGATATTTGATAGGCTGATTTTCAGTGGGCCACTTGCTGCTAAAAGAGCAAGAAGGAACATTGATCAGGAGGTGTGAGGACACCAGATTTGCCCACATCTTGCTAAGGGATATAAAACCAAAAACCTTGTTGGAGAAAAGTTTAGCATGCTAACGCTAATCAAAAATGAATACACAAAGCAGACTTCGGAGCAAGGAAAACTATCAGGGATGAGGAGAGGCATTATTTAATGATAAAATAGTCAGTTATTTAAGAAGACATAATAATCCTTAACATGTATGCACCTAATAACATGGCACCAAGGTATGTAAAGCAAAAACTGACAGAACTGCAAGTATATATAGACAAATTGACTATTGTGTTGGAGACCTCAATATCTCAGTAACTGACATATCCAGTAGGCAGAAAAATCAGTAAGAATGTTACAACCTGATCAAATTGACATTTATAAAATATTCCATCTAACAACGGCAGAATACGCATTATCTCAAGCTCACAAAGAACATTTATCAACTTAGACCACTTTCTGGTCCATAGCACATACCTTAACAAATTTAAAAGAATAGAAATTATAAGAAGTATCTTTTTAGGCCATAGTGGAATTAACCTCAAATGACATACTTGGAGATTTAAAAACACATTCTAAATAACACATGGGTAAAAGAAGACTCAAGAGAAAAAAAAATATCTTGAACCAAAGGAGATGCAGTGAAAGAAGTACCCAGAGGTTGATTTATAGCATGAAATGCATATCTTAGAAAAGAAGAGAATTCTAAAATCAATCATCTAAGTTTTCATCTTAGGAAACAAAAAAAGGAGAGAAACTTAAGTTAAAAGTAAGCAGAAGGAAAGAAATAATAAAGTTAGAGCAGAAATCAGTAAAATTGGAAGCAAGAAAACAATAGAACAAATCCACTAAATCAAAAGTTGGTTCTTTGAAAAGATCAAGAAATTGATAAACCTCTAGCCAGTCTAACTGAAAAAAACCCAAATGCCTCAGAATTTAACATTTTTTTCTGTCTGAAAGATGGCTTTTGAGATCCCCTCATGTAAAAAGACCAGTTCTCTGGGAACTTTAAATTTGATTCTCCTGAGCATTCAATGTGATGAAAGCTAGATTGGTTTTAAAATATAGTACTACTTGCTGACATGTCATCTGTCTTTATGTATTTAGTCCTAAAAACTTCCCCCTCTTAAAAGATCTTAAACATGATGTGTATTTTCATTCTGCTTCATTGCACTTGTTCATCCTTTAGTGGCAAAATGGGCTCTCTCTGCACTGTGTCAGTTATCTAGATGGAAACACATGTTATCAGAAAGTTCTAGGTATTCAAACAATTGATTGAGTCATTCTGCAAATATTTGATGAATGCCTACTTTGTTCAAGGCATTATGCTATGTGGGAATTCTGAGGGCATTAGAGGCTATATGTGGAAGATTTGACATGAGAGAGGCAGGCTAAGGGGCTGTAAGCGATCCGAGGGGAGTGAGATGGCTTCAGTCGAGGAGAGGAGCCAGAGGCAGTGTATTTATATGTAAGAGACGTTTTCAAGGCAATAAGCAAAGAGGATATTCTAGGACTGGAAAGGACATGTACAGTGTGCAGGAGAGGGTGAAGAATTGTGAAGAATTACTCTCGGAAGAGCATCAGGTCTAGCTTTTACTGGGACAATGAGCTCCCATGGAAGAAAGATAACAGGTAAGTTTGGGATAGCCTGTGGAGGGCAGGAATCCTAGCTGGGAAATTTGAACTCTGTTGCTTGGCAGTGAGATGCCGCTGAAGGTTTAGATTACCGGGTGAGGCGACCAAAATCATACTGTGAGAAAATCCCTCTAGAGGGGCTACAGGAAGAATTAAAGCCAGGAAGGATAAATTAAGCTCAGGACTTGAGTAGGAATAGTTTAAGCATGAGCAAAGGCTTGCCTTAGGATGATAAAGAGCACAGGAAGGACGAGGTCTGGCTCCAGACATCCAAATCAAGTCACCTTGGCATGCAAGGCGTAGCCCTTGTTGACTCTACTGTAACTGACTAACTAGACTGTGAGCCTCTGATAAATGTATAATCATGGATTTAATTTCCTAGTGTGCACCTGTGTTGTCCATAAGCGCTGCCATCATCTAATTGTTACAGCCTGCACTTGCCAAAACAATAATAACAAAGTGGATTCAAAGGTAAGAGGATAGCAGTTTGCTAAGTAAGTGCCTGCAGGAGCTCATGTGTGTGCTTGCATGTGAGCTCGCTCTGTCTTGCTCTCTCTCTCTCTTCTCCCACCTCCCCATTCCCTTCCACATTCCTTGAAGCCCATGGTGGTATCAGAAGGGAAATTTCTCCCCTTTTTATAGTATGGCATTTGTATTTCTATACTTGGGGAGCATGACATTTCCTTGAGGTGGTCTAATTAGTGATAAGCAGGATATAAGCTAGAAGGATCAGTTCCAATAATATGGTAAGAGCTTTGGAGAAGCAAAAAGATCACTGAGTTTGGCATCAGATGACCAGGATACGAATGCAGATTCCAGCTTTTGCCAGCTAGCTTCTCTCTCAGCCTCAGTCTCAAAATGGGGTCTATACTCGCCTCACTTAATTTTTGTGAGGGTTAAACAAGACAGAATTGATATGACAGATATGTTGCTGAGAACTGTAAATAGTGCTTTCTAAATAAAGTGACCATTAACCTCCTCCAGCTTCTTGAAAAATTTCAGGGAGGCCTTATATCTGCACATAAATGCTTACACCTCACTGTTGCTACTTCCACAGCATTCAGCTGGGGTAGCAATACATTCTAAATTACCAAGTAGAAAGCACATGAAGTACTGCTGACAATTAGTGGATTTACAGATGCACCGGGAAGTCTTGGGACTCAGTGGCTTCTTGGAGTACACATATGGGGTTGCTGAAGAGTACGTGTAGACCGATGAACCACTGCTTTATGAGAAATAGGCCAGAGAAGTTTCAAGAGGAGAAGTAATTGCCCTACTCCTTGTCATGTGTTGATCAGCTATTGTTGCTTCGAATTGTGTAGACTGTTAAGCATGTGTCTAGTCTAATTATTTGCTGGAAACAATTTGTGAGATTAAAACGGGACCTTTGCACGCAGATAATCAGAACTGCAAATGCCAGGCAATTTGGAAGGGCTGAGTAAGATAGTCACTTGAATGTCACTTTGGGTTAATTCCTTCTGTGGTTCTATGCTATCTGGATGCCACCTTCTTTATCTTTCCCCCCCATGACACAATTTCTGGAGGAACTTGTGGTCATAGCAAGTATAGATCGTCTGTAAAAAATTGTTTAATCCTGAAGGTAAAAGGAAATAGACATAGGTGTGAGGAAGCTGACAGGGAGAGGAACACAGGCTTAACATAAAAAATGAAATACAAATGGTGAGCAGTCTAATGCACACCACACCCTTTCTCTCCAGTCTTGTTCATAAGAAAACGGGCTTAGCCTGGTCAGTCAGGCCTGAGTAATTCATCATGGCTGAGTACAGTAAAATGATAACCCAGCTCAGGTGCCATAGTACCTTTGTGTTTGGTGGGCTCCCATTACAGGTTTTACAAAAGATGTTGGTTTGGAAGTTGAGCTCCTGTCCTCCTGTTTCCTTTACACAGATTGCTGAACAGAGGTTTGGAATCAACATCCCGCACAAGTTCAACATCCACAACTACAAAGTGCCGACATTCTGTGATCACTGCGGCTCCCTGCTCTGGGGGATAATGCGGCAAGGACTTCAGTGTAAAAGTGAGATGCTGGGGTGCTGGGTAGCCACTTCATGAGAACAACACACTGCAAGCTTTTAGAGTTCTAGAGGTTCAGAATCTGACCTGAGACTGATGGTTTTACATACTTTGTAAATAACATTTTAGTAGTTCTCTACTTGTGTGTCCCTTGTCAGGCGTGTAAAGAGAGCTATATTGGATCCAAAGATTGCCTAGCCACAGGTTTAGTCTGTTGTTAAATTCATTGTTCTACCTAGCTGGCTGGCGTCTATTTAGTGTTGAGTACAGACTAGGCATTTTGTATTTTAATGGACTTTTGAAAGAGGGAAAAACAGTATCTTGGTCAGAAACAGAAGGTGGTAGGAGGTGAGGTGGCCAAAAGGAAAGCTTGGGTTATGAGCCAGCATTGGCAGGAGGGTAAGTCTAATGACCTCTCCAGAAATAAGCATGAGATGAATAAAAGCATAACTAGAGATGCCCTGGGTCTTCTTGAAGAGATTGGTGGAAATAGGATGGACTAAAGGACAATTATGCTTTGCCCATTGGCTTCCCTTTGCTATTTGTGCCCAGTGGAGCCTGAGTCTGGAGCTTTTATCTCAGCAAGGGTCTGGGCTCATTCCTGTCGGGTTTGGAGCTGGGGAGCTGTTGGCCTTGACTCATCTCCCGTTGATTGCCCCCGGACCACTGTGACTATCAGGCTGTCATGGGGTGCACTGCCCCCTGCTGAAGTACATGTGAATTGCAGCCCAAAACATGAGACACCTTCCGAATCACCAGAGGAGCTGGAGTTGGTATCAGCGCAGCTGGACAGCTTCTGCTGCCTGCCTGCACTTATCAAGCTTGTATCTGTCAACAACAAGGGACTAGTCACTTGTCTTTAAGAAGGGCAAAGTCTTTGATCTCTCCAGAACATCATTTAATAATTTTTTATTCACAGATACATGAACTAATTCTTTTCCAACCAGAACAGCAGCCAGCTCATATACAGCTTTGGTTCAGGCACTGATGGATCTTCAGCAGGGTGGTCTCACGTAGATGTGGGTTTCCAGTGTGAAGGCCACTTTCTGCTTTTGTACAATGGTTGAGCCATTCTTGGGGTTTATCTGCATTGCTCTCGTCCCTGGTGGCCTGAGGACAGCACAGCTGCAATGATTGTGTATAAGCTTTGCTTTTACTGCCCCACGGTGCTTTAGAAAGGCCCCGCAGGCTTGTGTGTGTCTGTCCCAGCCTTCCCTGGAGGGGCGGATTTCCCATGGAGTACACTTAGCTAGCGCCTTAGGGCCCCTCCCTTGCAGGGCTCTTCCTGATTGGGTATTCTTTTTCTTAAAGTGGACACCCTAAATTACATAAACCCAGACCACACAAAACCTGGATCTGTGCATGTTTCCAAAGATGGATTGACACTCCAGAAACAGGAATTTGTTGCTGACTACTTCAGTTCTACCTCCCATCAGCAGGGCCCGGGTAAAGAAACTGTTATCAGAACTTAATTTCTCCCGATTAGACCTCCGTCCTTCATCGCCCCAAGTCAGCTTCCTGTGCACCAGAAGCTGAACTTGCTTCTCTCTCCTTTTCCAACTGCCATTTACTCTGACCTTTTAAAAAGTTGCTTTTCTCCCCCATGAAGTAGTTAGAACCACTGCCTGTGAGCCATGAGAACCACAGCCCCACAGGATACCACACGCTCTGCTATGAGGGCCACCAACCACAGCAGTACTCAGAAAGAAAGCTTTACTTGGAGGATTTTCTTTCAGAAGTGCCATCTCCATCCTGTTTGAACACTCGTCTGTATAAGGCATTTAGATTGTTCCCTTTTATTGAAAAACAAAAGGGGAAGCATGAAGTCCATTGGCATGATTCCTTGTTTAATTGACGTTTTGTGATGAACGTTTTGATCTCTGTACTGAATTAGGCTGTTAAATGGGCGACTGTTACATATGATTAGATGACTATCTTTCATCAAATCATGGTGAAAAAAATGTATTTGCGATTTGTTATTCTTCTGTATGCCAGGCTTTCTGCTTCTACGCAAAACAGAAACAGAGAAAATGTTAGGGAAGGTTGAGTGGAAGTTGAATGTTATGAGAAGGTGGCATTGTTTCCCCGTGTGATTCCTCTGTCACGATCTTTTAGGTTATTGAAGTTCTTTTTTGCAGCACATGTTGACTTGGTTTCTCTCTGAATGTGGATCCCCTTCTTCCCTTCCTTCTAGTCTGTAAGATGAATGTACACATTCGATGTCAGGCAAACGTGGCCCCTAATTGTGGGGTAAATGCAGCGGAGCTAGCCAAGACTCTGGCAGGGATGGGCCTCCAGCCTGGAAATATTTCTCCAACTTCGGTGAGACTCTGCTTTTTTCATGTATTACAGTTTAGAAGCTGTTCAAATATGGTAAGTCTGGGTGAGCACATGTGCCATAAAGTTGCTAATGTCAGCACATGCAGTAAACAGATTACACGTTTTAAGAGCATTCTGTTTCACAAATAACATTCTTTATACAATTATTTGACAAGAAATTATATGAGCATGCACATATCTCAGGAAACAGAAATAGGACTATGTTTTTAAAGATCAGCTTCTTGTGAGGGTGGTGTGGTGAAACCCTGCAGTTCAGGGCCCCGGGTTACACATTTGGCCAGGACCCTGGCAGTACAGTGGACCAGTAGCTATGGGCCTCGGCTTCCCCCTTTCTAGAAGATCTTTGAGCTTCCCCACAGCCCTGGAAGCCTGCAATCCTGCCGTTCTTGTTTATGGATTGTGACGTTATCTCTGGAGTTCAGCAGCAGACAGGAGTTCCTTCCTCTCAGTTCTCAGGAGTGGGTGGGGTTGCCATGGACATGTTTTGTTTTGCAACCTCCTTAAGTGACCCCCACCTGCTGTCGGCCATTAGCACCTCAGCCACTTCCCAGGCCCATGTCCTAGTGCTGCCTTCCTGGCCAGAGCCTGCAAAGAGCTGGAAAACAGCCATGGCTATGGCTGTGACTTCTGAAAGGTGTAGCTTGATATCTGGTTTAGGAAACTCTAAATGTAACAGTTGAATGTCTCTGGGTACTTAGGAAGGGAGTTGCAGTCACTGTCAGGTTCTTGTTTCTTCAGAAAATGTCAGCACTCACTACCCCATTTCCTTTTTACTGAGAAGCCCCTCCCTGGTAGATCAGGGACATGGGTTGACATTGTCTTTATTTCAGGAAGGCATTAGCAAAGTCCTTCAAGTTTGTCTGCCTTATGGATAGAGGCAGGATGCTAATATCCTGACGGGGAGATTTCTAAAGCACAGGATGGCTATTCCTGAACAGCTGTTCCTGAATACCCTGGCCCAGAGAATTCCAAGATTAAGGATTTCAGCCTACACTGGGTCTTCTAAAGTGAGAGAGACCATGTGGCACAGCCTCTAGGAATGGGCAGTGCCACTTGTCATCTGAACCAAGTATCTTTAACACTATGATATTTAATAGCGAGAAAAACCAAGTTCATCTGTTACCTGACAGAGCAACATCAGAAAGAGAATCTTAAGGCTGTCAAGAGATGAATGGATGAAAAAAAATTTTGAGAAATACTAGAATTTTCTAGCCAGCACCAGTCCAACCAGGGGGGATGAATTTAAGTGGAGGAAGTGGAATTCAAGCTGGTAAAATTTTGCTATCTTTGACAAATTTATGACCAGAGACCTGGAGGAGAAGCTATTACTACAGTTGGATTTTAAAGAGGATCCACCTACTTTGTATCTGCAATCATGGTGTTATTAGGTTAAGTAAAACCCTTGTAGTTTCAGGCTGTTGCACAGTTATTGTGAACATTGCTTAGAACTTGCCCCAGATAGACCTTTTTTCTTAGCTAAAGAGGTCAAAATCTCCAGGATGTTACACTTTTGATCTGTTGTCTAGTGGCAGCTTGTCTTACAAGTGTCCCAAGGCAGACATCTGTCAGTCTCCTTGCCCTTAGGGAGCCCCCTCACTGTGATGGGGCTTTTCCCAGGGGCCAGGGTGAGGGAACCCGCTGCGGAGGCCACACCTCCTTCTGGTTGGGTGTAGTGAGATGACCTCTCATGGCACTGGCAGTCAGTCTCTCTGGATAGCAAGCTGGCCATGTATCAGTAGCCTTCACAATGAACACTTAGGCCCAAAGAATTACATTTCCAGAAAGTTATCTTAACAATAGATGATGATAATGATAATGACAACACAGCTCATGGTTATTGAATGTGCCAGGCACCCACTTGAGTGCTTTGCACCCATTTTTTTCATCCCTCGTGATAACTCACGGGGCAGGTGCTGTAATAACTCCTTTGTTGGTAGAAGAGATGGAGGCACAGAGACACAGTCACAAGGTTAGGTTATAAAGCTGGTGATTTGAATCCAGGCAGTTCACTTGAAAACCTAGATTCCTAATCACCCTGCTTTGAAGATTTGCATGCAAGTATGTTCACTGTGGTGCTAGTTATATTACTGAAAAAAGGGAGATAACCTATACTTACAATAGCCAGGGAATTAGTGAATAAATTGTGATATATCCATAAAATAAAATATTGGACATCCCTTAAAAGTCATATTCCTGAAGGATACTTATAGATATGAAAAATACACATGGCAAAATTTTAAATAAAATGGTATGAAACAATAATTTTCTTATGTTTTTAAAAATTAAGTGTAAAGATGTATATTTGTGTAATATTTTTTATTGAAGCAGTTTGATGGAATTACAAGCATTTAAAATTGTATCCTTCATGCAGTTTTTGCGTTAATTTTTATTTCTCTAATATTACTTGAAATATTATATAAAAAATGTTGCTTCATTCATTCATGCCCTGGTGTGTGGAGTGGTACTTGATCCCTTGAGCAAAGGTGAAAACCCATCTTGAATCAAGTGGACACCAGGTGGCGCTCCTGGACTCTGACTACCCTGGTAAAGCCACCTCAAGATTCAGGACAGTCCAGACGAAAACGTTTGTGTGTTTGTACACTCTCATTTGAACACAAAGTGAAACTTGTGGCTTAGATATATTTTAAACCAATTCTTTCGCAAATGCAGTAAGCACAGATCAGGAGCTTGTGTGAGGTAGTTTTGAAGGACAGTGCCTGATCACACATCAAATGGAACTGATCTTTCCCTGAGTGTTAATTGAAGGGTGAGGCTGCCTGTGAGGACTTTTTCATCTATAAATGCTTCAGGCGCACTCTGATTTCTGACTCGATATATTCCTACTCTGTGTTAGAAGCTTGTTTCCAGATCAACGCTAAGACGACAGGCAAAGGACAGCACCAAAGAAGGCAACGGGGTCGGGGTTAATTCTTCCAACCGACTTGGTATCGACAACTTTGAGTTCATCCGAGTGCTGGGGAAGGGGAGCTTCGGGAAGGTGAGTCCTGGCTTTAACTGTGTGGGTGAAAGCATGCATGTCGCATGCATGCTGTGGGGTGCGGGCGCATACATGTTCAGGCTCACACTTCCCATGCGCCAATCCCTTCGTGCCGGTGCATGCTCACGCCCGAAGAACCTCGCGTTCTCAGGCCCGGTGCTCCCCACTTCTGCTTTGCCCTAGGTGATGCTTGCGAGAATAAAAGAAACAGGAGACCTCTATGCCGTGAAGGTGCTAAAGAAGGATGTGATCCTGCAGGACGACGACGTGGAGTGCACGATGACGGAGAAGAGGATCCTGTCCTTGGCCCGCAATCACCCCTTCCTCACACAGTTGTTCTGCTGCTTTCAGACCCCGGTAAGTAAGGCTCACATTTGCCACCTCAACGACCTCCTTCCTTAAAGAATCGAGATGATAAGATGTTGAAGATTTCGTAACGTAGAACCTCAGAAACTTTTGGGGGCTGAGCCCCCATGACAGGGTCATATGAAGGTACCCAGTGACACTGATGGCCTCTGGGAGGAAGTTGAAACCAATGAACTGTTTCCAGCAATGCTGTCCTGTGGAAGGATCATTCTGAGGGTTCTTTGTCCTAAGGTTGAAAGGGTCTTCAAGCATAAGTCTTCTATAGCAGAGTGAAGGTTTGACAGAAGTCAAAAAATAGAGTAAATGTCTTGGCTTGGGCCCCACTCCGAAATGCTGAATTGGTTCTGACCTGGGCAGAGGAGTTACAGCCAGGATAGATCCAGAGACTGCACCCTGATTTGTAATATCCCAAGGCAGTGCTCCTGGCCTCAGTCTGGGACCCTTTGCTTGATTCTCTGGACTGATCCAGGGGTTTGAGTCTGTCTACACTACAATGTGCCACTAAAGATGTGTTCTTCTGCAGTTAACAGAATACCCCGCCAACAGTGCTTTACACATTACACATCATGAATTTGGGTCACTACTACCAACTTGTTTACTTGAGAACTCTAGCAGAGCAATGTTAGGGTTGGATTAATTGCTCAGTGACATCAGACTTCTCTTTCCCTTGGGGTCTCAAGTTATTTTGCATAGTCCTAAATGTTACAACCCATATGATAGCATCGAGGCAGGACACATGGGGACAGAGGCACGAGAGCTTCATGGGCCCCTTTCCTCTTTTCAGGGAGAAAAACTCTTTCTGGCTTGAGTCCTCTGCTCACTCTTAGCTACAGGGAGGCCGGAAGAACAAATGTCTACCCAAGACAAACTGGTTAACCATGACTGGCTCCCACCAGCTTTGACTCATCCCCTGGGACCAGGCCCTCTGCTGCCCATTCAGCTCTGGGCTTAGAACTGGGCTTCTGTTGTCTTGAACATTCTGTGGAAAAGCATTTGGGGCATGTCCTTCCCTGTTATCATCAGGGCCCTAGAGGATGTGGTAGGAGCCCGCTGGGCTTAGGGATGCAGCAAGGCCTTTCTAGGGAGAATACCAGCTAAGCTGGGGCAACATAGATAAAACCATATCCTTTCTCTTTGAAAGAAACAATTATTACTAATTTTATGTGTAGCCTTTGAATGAAGTTTTTGCATGTGAAAGCATCCACCGATGCACACATATATGCAGCCATATTTGTTTTTAAAAAAAACAAAAATGATAGTATATTTTGCTTATCATTCTATACCTTACTTTTCTATAAAAATGTAGTAATATATCTTGGAGGTTGTTTCATATTTGTACATGCCTAGCTGCCTTATTTTTTAATGGCTGCAAAGAATTCCATTTTAAGGACATGATGCAATTTCTTTGTTTCCTCTTTCTAAATATTTAAGTTGTACCTAGACTCTTACTTTGATCAGTGTTGCAGAGTCCCCTTGTACTGTTATCTTTACATATTGTGCTGTTATTTCTATATGACACACTATCAGAAGCAGTATGGTTTGGTCAGAAGTGTATGTATTTAAAGTTTTGACTGGGTCCAACTGGCATTCTCCCCCATAGTGGCTGAAGACAGCTACACAGCTTATCACCGAGTACCAGGCACTGTTCTAAGTGCTTTAAAAGTGTAGCATCTCATTTAATTCTCTCAGGAACCTTATGAAGTAAGTTGTGTTGGTATTACTCCCATTTTCCAGATGAGGAAAGTGAGGCACAAAGCATTTTAGCTCCACATGGCAAAAGTTTTGACAGTAGGTGATCTGACTACAGAGCCCAGACTCTTACCACTTGCTGACTCTATTTCTAAACTCATTCTCCCAAACCATGTGTGAAGATGTGTATTTCCCCTACCCTCCCATTACACCACCCTAGCTATCATTTTGTTGATTGGAGAAATTTAAAAATGTTTTCTTTGGAGTTCTGATTTGCATTTCTCTGACTGTGAGTGAGGCAGATCATTCACACATATGTAAGGGTCACTTATGTTCAAATCTGTGTTGGAAAGGACACATGTGTGGCCTGGAGAACGGGTGAGGCAGAGAAGACTGGAAGCGAGGTGACAGGAGGGTACTTCAGGGGGTACACAGCGTGCACTTGCATACTGTCCAAGCACATCAGAGGAGCTGGGAATCAGCAATAGCTTCTTAGGCCACGATTCCTCCGGCACTCCTTCCTCCTTCCCCTCATTGTCTGGGCTCCTTGAGGCCACATCCACCTCACCTCAGGGTCTGTGGCTTCTGCAGACAGCTCTGGAGCCCGAGCTGCCCCTCCCATGTGCCCCTGACTCTCTGTTTCCACCTCGGGGGCCCATGGCCTAGTGAGAGCTCCAGTTCTGCCAGTCTAGCATGGCTGCCTGAGTATCCTCTGCAGGCTGTATCCTGTGTTCGGAGCTTGGCCTACAAAACCCTTCCTTGCCCTGAGGCCCCTCATCCATATGTTTTCTTGGACAAGAGTGGGTGACGGATCAAGCTTGAAAACTCCCTTGTGGGGAAGGATGGTACCAGTCATCTACTACATTTCAATCTTGAACCTTCTGTTTACAGCATGAATCAAACAGCTGAGCAGAGCTACACTCATCATCTTCCCAGGGCCTGAGCCAAAGAGCAGATGGTTCTCTGTGATGTTAAGTCAGCTGATGTTAACCAGCGATAACCTTTGAGTCAGACCATTGACAAGCACTTAGGGAACCTAGGCTGGTCATGCAGCGGCTGTCGTTCAGGCTATTCTAGTGAGCAAATAAAGAAGTGCCTCACACCCACCTCCAGGGGACTTTCACCTACAGAAGGAAATCACTGTGGTTCTGTAGAAGCAGTCTGTGGTCTCACCAACAATTAGACTGTTAAGGTAAACTAGAACAAGAAAGTATCCTGGAGCAGATTGGGAGTCAAGTGAAAATAGTATACACAGCAAAGAAATTTCCAAGAAAATATGTATTATACAATATGCTAAAATATTAGTGAACATATAGGATTACCAGCGTGATGCAGAGGAAGCCTTTACTATTTTATTAGCCTTGGCAGGCTTTTTTTCTAGTGATAGTTTCATGTGTACAGCCACAAGGTGGCAGTCATTCCTGCAAGGTGATTTTCATTTCTCCAGCAGAGAAGAAACTGACGCTGGGGTTCAGAATTGGCTTTGCAGTAGATGTCACCAGAGCAAAGGATAAAGCAGATTTTCCCCTGCCTCAAGCTTAGATGATAAACAAAGTGGTGGGAACCAACTTTAAAGAATCAGGTCTTTCTCATGCTAAAACAGAGAGATGTAATTTTCATTTTGCTGTAATTTATGCCTTCTCTCAGGTGTGCAAGGTGTCAGACTCCATCACGTGTATGGCATTTACTGTGCATCTGTAAGAAATCCTCTGCGACTATCCCCATTCACTTCACTATAAAGAATAGAAAGTGTTAGTTACTATGAGAAATTATATCAGGTAGGTTACTGATTTGTAGCTACTCAGTTTGGTGGGCCGTGGCCTCTGAGATGATCAGTGTGTTACACTGCACTGTAACAGCTGACATTTAGCAGTGCGCATGGGTGAGGTGTCAGAGTCGCTCTGCAGCTATCTGCAAAGTATCATTTCATTGTGAAGACCCTTGTCAAATCAGCACTGTTCTCATGGGCAGCCCTGTGCAGTGAGTTGTCTCTGAAGCCCAGAGACAGGGAGTAAGTAATTTGCTGAGTGTTCCTTAGACTGTAAGTGAGGAAGCCAGGGTTCATCTCTGGGTCAGCATGACCCTGGAACCTGGGCTCTGTGCCATGACACCTCAGCCCCCATGTCGTTTACCACAGTTAGGTTGTCGATTCAGCATCCACTCAAATGCCTCCTATCTGCCCCACTCCCCTCCAACCTGCCAATGGGGAAACAGCATTTCCCTTGGGAGCAGAAGACCTGAGTTCTTCCAGCTCTGTTTTCCTCTGTCTAAAGAGCCTACCTTAAAATTCCTTGAGTTTTAAAGTTCTCTTGGTTAAAATGAAAGCAGGATTGCTATGCAGACTGCAGGAGAGAATGCAGAAATGCTTTTTATACATGCTCCACAACTCAGAAGTGAATAGTTTCACTGATGTGATGACCACCTCCTTCGTCACACCAAAGAAAAATATCCTGGGGCCTCCCAGTGGCCAGCATAGACCCATACAGAACACAGAGGGTATAGTGAACAGCCAAAAAGCAGGAATTTGGGGCCCCTTTTGTTTCTGGCAAAAATAAAAAGATAAGCAAATTTCAAATATTAGATAATTTATCAGTTGTCACATAGGATCATGAGCTCATAAATTATTTTCATAATAATACATGTTACTTGCTAGTATGTAATTGACATCCCCATACATTTCTCAAAGCATTGTAAATCCTGATGCTTTGTGATAGAATGTGATAGTCTGGATCAAGACTCATAAAAATGTTTCTATTCTTGGATCTCTTGATCTTATTTCTAATAATCTAGCCTAAGAAAATAACATAGAGAATAAAATAAATATTATACATAAAGATGTTTAATTTTCAGCATATTATAATAAGAAAATATTGAAAACGACTTGAACATTCAGCACTACAAATTTACTTAATATATGATTTGATGAAGATTCTCAACCAGTGGAGAGATAACTGAAGATCGAGCAGTGACATGATTATGTATCTATCAGACACTGCCATAAGCACCTAACATGTGTTATTTATGGCGTGCAATTCTTAAAACAGCCTGTAAGATGAGTCTGATCATTATCTTCATTTTGTCAAGCGCTGAGGAGTTAAGTCATTGCCCAAAATCCAGTGCAGTAAATGGTGGAACTAGGAGGTTAGAGCCCAGGAAATAATACAGAATTTGTGATGATTCAGTGGCATCAGGTTTGGCCCAAGACAGTGAATTGGCAAACCCAGCCCGTCCTCCATTAAGAGACTAGAAGGAAGTTACATAAGCTACCAGTGCCAGTGTGAAAGTAGTGAAATTATGGACAC